CCATGACGAAAAAAGAATTTCCTTTCGCCTATCTCATCACGATCCGGCGTTTAATATGGGGGAACTGGAGTATTTGCACCTGTCCAATTATCTCTTCCTTGTTTTATTACTCTGGTCATCACAATTACGCGTTATTTTTCGAAATGCCATGAAGATAATATTGTTCATCACCCTCTCCTTCTTCCCCCATCTTTCTCTCTGTGAGACGCACACATGCAAACATGCACATGTATCTCCACACATATTTTTCCTTGGTGTCTTTCCCACTGGAAACCCAACTTGCGTCTTACAGGCATTCTGCCAACCTGATCCGACCGTATCCCAGAACTGGATATTATCTCCTATCTTATTGTTTGTCATTTACCGTTTTACAAGCTCTTCCGCCATCTAAGCCACTTCTTGTTTCATTATCTATTCTCCCAATATACCACCACAGGAGAAGCGGGCGTATCCGTTCTGTTTATTGCCTATTAGCGTCATAGTTGGTTCCTTCAAAACCTACAACATTTATTCCCCCTCAGGATCATTTACGTCAATTTTTTTTTTCTTCTTTTTCTATTTTTTTGTTCTTTTTTTTTTTATTATCAATTATTATTCTCTCTCCAGCGGACGGAGTTGGTGGGATCCCTTATATCATTTAATGAACCATTATTATTTTTTATCTCTTCTATATCTTGATTAATTTTGAAATTATTTTTCCTTTCATTTTTCTCAGTTATTTTTTAGTCTTTGTCTTTGTTATTTATGTTCCTCACATTGGAGCCTGTGGTACTTTGTCCTCACTATTCCTGAAATATCCTTCACTCTGTATTGCTTTACCTTATTTTGCTAATTTTGATATGTTAGTTAGCCATTAAGCCAAACAATCTAGTCTCCTTACTGACTTTGCTTCTCAGTTTTTATTTCATTTAGTTCCTTGTCTTTTCTGCTTCCGCCTTAAGCATGCTATCCATCTTCTTCTAAAACGCTAAAGTGGTTTCCCCTTTTCCATCATATGAGAAAATGAGGAAATGGTGAATGTGCATTAAAGAAACATGTCAATTATCTAAATTGCTAATCTGAGATATTCCCTTCCACATCCCACAATATCTCTTTGTCAATATCGGCTCTAATCACGTGACCCAGTTGATATATCGCCCTTGTCTCAAATCGCTTTTATCTTTCTCCTTCACACTGCAACAACATCAAACTATCAACTAGGTTGATGTCAGTCAAGGGCTGCAACATTGGGCATCTCACTCTAGCTACATTTTCTTCTAACTTATTCTGTGGAAATTGGACTCTGGCAGTAGATAGTATCACGATACACGGTGCCCCTGATATTTGAGTTGAACAATGCCACGTTGGAGACTATATTACCAATATCACTGTCAATAAAATGGTATAGTTTTCCATGTTTGGTGTTCTGTTAGCTAGGATAGAGGGAGTCACCTTCTATCTAGCCCACCCATGAAATGCATGAGTAAATTTCTTGAGAACTTCTTTCATTTACTGACTGAAAATTTAAACTGGTTATGTTGCCAATTCTCAAGATTTCCAACCAAACAATCTTCTTATCAAAAGAAAAGAAGTTATACTGCTACTTCACTATTTTAAGACTGCTGTTTTGGGTGACCAATGTTTGAAACGCTCAAAACTTCTCTGCAACAAATAGATATTGAATGCAGCAATCCTAGATGACATTATTTAATGATATCTTCATTTTATCTCAGCATATAAAATGATGACACCGACCTCTGTTGAAGATTTTCCTCTCCCTCATAACAATAAATATATGATCCACTCCACAATACTTCTACTACATTACATTTTTCCAGCTCAAATATCCCGTATACTCCTTCTCCAACTACGGGACATTTTTGATTTGAAACCTTTCTGTTTCTCTCTGCTTGTTCTCACGTCAGTCAGCAATTTTCGCTTGATATTGCGAGCTGTTCGGTGCCTGGACATCGTCAGTACGTTCCATACACCTAGTTGGACGATGGATAAAAGCATTTGGACGAACACCAGGCTGAGCGGGTTCCTGCCACGGAGTTGATGCTGACATAGCTTGAATATTCTCAATAACTATACAAAGGGCCAAAGTAATATGTGTCACTCTAGCCTGTCATCAGTCGCTTGTACAGTCTTAGCGCACGGGTGGTTTAACTCCTTTATGCGTCATTTCCGTGTCTGGATTCTGCAAGCGCCGCTTGCATGGTTTGTTCAGATACCAGCACCACCAGTGCCATGGGTATTGTTGGCGGCAATGCCACTATGAAGTAGACGAAGAGAGCAGAAGTATTATCCATCCAGAATTCTGCGTTATTGTGCTCCGCAGATGATGTGATGGCAACAAGTATTCTCCTGGTCCTCCCCCTGAAATCACCAGACGCCCTTTTTGTGAATTCTTCTCATCAAGTCAACAACAGCAAAGGGCTCCATATAGGAGCGATCAGTTTGTGTCGCTGTCCCGCAATTGGCAGAAGAGCCCTGACAGAGTTTCCATTTGGGTTCAATTCATACAGCCCAAACATTTAGCAGATATTGCTGACAACAGCATGTAGTAAACTTGATCCAGATATTCATTCTGCAGCACTTGAGAAAATAGAAAATAAATTGGTAAGGTATAAGCGTTTGATACATTATCCCAGCACAATTGACAGAGAAGGACCCTGCGATTAAGGGTCACTTCAACAGAATATGTAGCACTCTCCCGTCACTCTTCAACTAATGTGGGATAAATTTCAGCGCTATCAGACAATCAGTGTTTGGAGCGGTCTGCACATCCTGCAGATCTTTATGCAGAATGTGTCGACTTAAATCCTTTCCTCTTACCGAGGTTGTTGATTTGATACCTGGAGTGTGAACTTCAGATGTTTGCTTCTCCTCCCCACAAATCACACAATTCGAGCATCCGTTGTTGCACTGCATTAAAACCATATGTTCTGTACAGAACACACCAAGGTCACAGATGGTCCCCCAGTCAGACGAGGTTGGATTCCCGGCGCAACACGATCCAGCTGGCATATGGAGAGCCAGGAGCGTTGACGACATTCAACATATCAAATGCAGGTTTCTTCACTGAAAGCAGCTAACTCAGTGTGACACTGAGGATGAAGACTCACAGCTTAGTTGACGTTTTTATCTGTCGCGAGATGTGTCCATCACGTTTCTTACTCCACACTCGCCATGAGTTGTAATCACACGATAATAGAACTGGACCATACCATAATTCAGAAACAAGAGAGATAATGAGAAGTAGCCACGATGACAATTGCACGAGAACACGAAACAGGGGATTCCTCTTTATTAACCTGGGTTTTGGTTTTTTTTTTTTTTTTTCTTTTTCTTTTTCCGGTCGCGATTTAGTTATAGTGACTGTTCGTTAAGATGAGGCGAAGTTTGACCTCCCGCTGCCCCCACCTGTCCAAATGTCTTGGGAATCTGTGGCCCCCTTTTCTTTCACGGACTTGAATTCCTTGATCTTTGCAGTCCTGAATTCCTTTGGGGCTAGTTGACTCGATTTTGTCGGTCAAAATAAGGTTATCTGATTTTTCAGTTTTTCAGCTCTGAAAATCAATGCGTATATCATTGCTTTTTCTTTCTTTTCTTTCTTCTCTTCTTCACCGTCAAAACAGTCTGTGACTGGTGTGTATGATCGTTCACAGCGGCATTATTTTCAACGGCTTTATCCTTCTATTTTTGCTCCTGGGAAAGTGGTTAAATTTACCCCAAATATTCAGAGAACAACACGCCATCACTGGTTTGTCCCTTGAGATACGGTGGATTCCAGACCAAGGATTCCCATCAGTCACTGCCCAGTGAATTACTCTGCAGTTCTTGCAGGGGATCGTCAGATCGACAACTACTTTCCAGTACAATGCATAATTCTTCGGGTATCTTCTTGGTATGAAAGTAAATTAGCCTCACACTACCCTGAACGGGGTATTTTATTTGATAACAAATTAACAATCAGGACCATATCTTATTATGTCTTCGTGACGGATTGCCATATAGATTTCATGAAGCCCAGGCGTTCGCTTCATGAATTCATGGTTGATTCAACTCTACGCAGCATAAGAGCTGAGAATACAGGGTACTTAGACTACCTAAGAAGTGCTCCATTCTGAGAATCATCGGGAATACATGGCCACTGTGTAAGAGTCGAGCTTTGGGAGCATGCTGTGATGGTCATATCCATGGCTGTATGCATTATTAGTTACTCTGTGTTGTGTTCAACACCTATTCCAGGGGCTATAATTCCACATGGGCAGGCATGAAATGAAATAGACTCGCTGCTGCAACCAACACACGGGCGAGTAACTAGGCGTATGTAGTTATATCTTCATGGTCAGCTGCAAAGTGGACCCTGATAGAAATCCATAACAATAATGCTATCCTTCAGATTCACCACCCCCCTCAAGTTCTTCAAGTTCTCCCGAGTCCCCATGGATAGAAGGAATGGAGAGCTGTTCCATTGCAATCGTACCTCCAACCTAAGCCCGCTAACCCTAGCATCCCCCAATAGTGCCCACTAGTTAGTTACTTAGGTTAGTAAGCCCGGAACTTGGGTTGGTTAGTTAATCGTTGACTGAATCCGGGCTCCAGCTGGCCCCTGTTTGAACTTCTCCAGGTTTATTAATGCACGCCCATCAAACTTAGCTTCCACCTCGTCATTCGCCAGCGGTATCAATCAGTGGTCCGTGATTCCTGAGTGATAAGAATGGATCTTGCTGCTGAGATTTACAATCTCAAGCGGGGGCCCCCACACCGCAGAACTATCTGCTGGGGCAGGTTGTCTGCAACCGCCACTGCACTCTCTGAAGACCCCAAGGGCAAAGCTTCTTCATGCCGACCTCTTGGGAAAAAGCCACAACGGCCCACCTCAGCTCCACCCCCCAAAACCGAAAAAAAAGAAAAGAAAAGAAAAGAGAAGAAAAAAAAAGAAAAAGAAAAAGAGGGAAATTATCGGCTCCTTATTTTCATTTGTCTCCTGAGCTCCGCTTGGACTATCCAAAATGACAAAAATTACGGGTCAGAAGGAAAACTCATCTAATAATTATGGGCGGGGCAAGCCTCGACCACCGGTTCCTATTGAACAACAGATTGGTTCTCATGAGGGGGTGTGTGGCATACACACAAAAGTTGCCCTGAACTTCTCCCATCACTTTCAGTATCATAAAATCTGCGGTTTCCGGGCCCTTGATTTTGTGGCCGGCATGGTGGTGAGCTCTTCATCACCTCACAACCAGCCCCTTTCTCATTCCTAAACCGAGCTGAATAGTCCCTATACTCTCACTGGAACTGGGTAACCAGGACACCAGAAGAATGGCGAGCTTTTTGGTCAGTTTTACCATGTGGTTTCGAGAGAGAAGACTCTGAACAGTGTTAGGTAGAGTCAGGCTGATAAATCCCTCTAGGATCCAAGTAAAGATCCAAACATCGGGTCTTCCCGTGGTAGTAACCAGACATCCACTGTTGATTCTACGCTCAACTCCCTCGGGGTAGAGACATCTACCTCTGCTGCCGCCCTTCTTACAACTTTTGCTCCGTCCTTTATCCTTTTTACCTTCTGGACTGCATTGTTCATTATCTGCCGGCGGAGTCAGCGACGATTCTATGCTCCCAGGTCCTATTTAGGAAATATACATGAACAGTACAATATCCCTAACCTTTGCCCTCCTTTTTCTTCCATGCTTATTGAGACCATTCTCACAATTTGCCCTCTTCCAGTGAGCGAAGTCCAGAGTTACCTTCGGGTTGGCTGAATTGGGTCGGTGCATTCTTCAACCTGTCAGACACCTATGTACTTCAACATTCATCCTTGGATGGATACTTTTTTCTGCGGTTTCTCCGCCTCATGTCGGTGACATGTTTCGTTGGGTGTCTTATAGTATGGCCAGTCTTGCTCCCTATTCATGCTACAGGAGGGGCTGGCAATACCCAGCTCGACGCTCTGAGCTTTAGTAATGTGAAGGAACCACGTCGATATTTTGCACATGTCCTTGTCTCTTGGACGTTTTTCGGTGAGACGTGAAAATATGTTCGCACAAGGGAGGTGAATGATGTGGAAAGGAGCTAAGATTGGTGATAGGTTTTGTTTTCTATATCATAACACGGGAAAGTATGTTCTACGCCACACTACGACAAGCCTACCTTTTATCGCCTCTGTATGCCAGTCGTATATCGTCCAGGACTGTCTTATTCATGGCTGTTCCTCAAGCCTTTCTCACTAAGCGGAAGCTGAAAAACGTCTTTGGGAAGTCTGTCAGACGAATATGGATTACCACAGACTGCAAAAAGCTGGATGATCTAGTCAGCACAAGAGACAAATTAGCGCTACGGCTCGAGGAGATGGAAACACGCCTGATCAAATCGGCTAATTCTGCAAGATGTAAAGCTATTAAAATGCAGAAAAAGGATGAGGAATCTGCCATAGATGCTTTTGCTATCCCAGATGGAGCGGATCATGACCTCGATTCTGTCGCATGGGAAGGCAAAGTGAAACGACCCACACACCGACTTCATTTCTTCATGGGCAAGAAGGTAGACACCATAGAATGGCTCCGGTCTGAACTTGAAAGAGTCCTTCCAGAAGTCGAAAAGCTGCAGAAGAAACACCGGGAAGGCGATGCAAAGTCCATCCCGGCAGTGTTTATTGAATTCGATACGCAATCAGCTGCGCAGACGGCCTTTCAAACGCTTTCTCACCACCAACCTTTTCAAATGACTCCCCGTTTTATTGGAGTTACACCTCATCAAATCGTTTGGCCTACTTTGCAATACAGCTGGTGGGCCCGAATTGTTCGGAAGTTCCTGATTCAAGGGGCGATCACTGCATTAATTATCTTCTGGTCCATCCCTTCTGCTTTCGTTGGAATGATCTCGAACGTTGCTTATCTGAGCAAACTCCTCCCTTTCCTCAGTTTTATTAACAAGCTGCCAGATGTAATTAAGGGGGTCATCAGCGGATTGCTTCCCGCTGTTGGCCTTGCTTTGCTGATGGCATTGGTACCGATTATTTTGAGATGTGAGACTTGTTTTTGGTTTTGTTTTTCATTGTAGACTTCTTCCCGTTTGCTGCCAAAATATAACTAATTCGTCCTATTTATAGTTTTCGCGAGGCAAACAGGTCTCCCGACCACTGTTGCCGTGGAGCTATTCACACAAAACACCCACTTTTGCTTCCAGGTCGTTCAGGTATTCCTCGTCACAACTTTGACATCCGCGGCCTCGGCGGCAACTAGCCAAATCATCAAAGATCCCATGTCAGCAAAGGACTTGTTGGCGAAGAACCTTCCAAAGGCGTCAAATTTCTATATTTCCTACTTCCTCCTTCAGGGCCTAGTCTTAAGCGCTGGCGCTGTGGTACAAGTGGTGGGATATGTGGTTTTCAAAATATTTGTTGCATTTTTTGATGCAACCCCGCGCAAGCTGTATGCGCGGTGGACGTCGATGAGCGGATTACAATGGGCTACGGTTTTGCCAGTTTTCACAAATATGGTCGTGATTGGTAAGTTCGACAAATAGAGCTGTGCCCCTATAACGGCTAAATCTTTCTCGGTTTTTCGTTTCTCTCTTCGATATCTGACCGCATCTAGCAATCACATACTCCTGTGTCGCACCTATTATCCTCGGGTTTGCCTCGTTCGGCTTATACATGGTATATCTGGCCTACCGCTACAATCTTCTTTTTGTCTACGACTCCGATGTGGACACCAAGGGTTTGATATACCCACGTGCCCTGCAACAAGTCATGACTGGTATATATCTCGCATCAGTATGCATGATTGGCCTGTTTGCCATTCGGGGTGCGATAGGGCCAGTCATAATGATGGTCCTCTTCACCATCTTAACAATTCTAGCACATATCTCCCTCAATGATGCACTGGGCCCACTACTTTCTGCGCTCCCACGAACGCTGGAACAAGCTGAAAAGATGAGTGATGACAGCGAGGAAGTTGAAGAACAAGGCTACGCAGAAGAAAAGGATAATGCAAGCAGCTCCCGTGCGTACGCAACAAGCGAAAAATCTCCAATAAGCCCGGCAACGGCAAGCAACGAGGTCAGCCTCCCGAGCCCATCATCTGTCCCCTCCAGATTCAAACGCAAAGGCCAAACGACCATAACTGTGACCGAAAGAGCGGGGACGGGCATGTCCACTGAGATCATCCCCTCGTCCCCACAAACGCCCGGCACTTTCCACACTCTCACCTACAAATTCTCCTACTTCATGCACTCGCTCGTAGAACCAAACATGTACATGGACTATGAGACGCTGCGCAAGAGAGTCCGGCAAGGTGCCCCGATAGAATACACTGATGAAGTGGCGGATAACGCCTATTATCCGCAGTCAGTGTGGAGTCCGACTCCGCTACTCTGGGTGCCACGCGATGCGGGCGGGGTTAGTCGCCGTGAGGTGGAGTTGACTAGCCGTGTGACGCCAATTACAGATGAGGAGGCGCATCTGGATGAGAAGAACAAGGTCAAGTGGGATAAAGTAAAGAGCCAGCCGCCGATCTGGCAGGAGAAGATATTTTATTGAAAGAAGGGAAGGGAAATGAGTGAAAGAAACTGGGAAATGTTTAGTTCTGGAACGAGGGTTGGTGATATTGGATGCTTATTTTACGTCGCCTGAAGGGAACGCACTTTATGATTGTTCAATACCCTGTAGGAGTTATAGAATTGAAATCCGGGTTTCAGATTTTGTTAGAGAGATTGAGTGGCTTTTTGGAAAGCGGAAAATTGTATATAGATATATCGGATATATTTTCACAATCGCACTAAGAATGCTTTGTCTTCTTTTGCACCGCTCAAGTCTGTTTCTTGGATTCAAGGAATAGAAAATAGAATATAGTTACGTGTTCAGAAATGATCTCATCGATATCAACGCAACACTCGTTCGTCGCTTACACTTGCAATCTACTGTATCTCTAGACTGAGAGGGTGGAGAGTGTCTGATTTGATCAATATCAATGAGATGGAGAGGGGGATCGAAGCGGGAAATGGGACTGGGCGATCTGAAGAATGAGATGCACTATTAGTGTATTGCATGACAATGCATAAACAAGCCCGCCATGACTCAGCTACAGAGGACAAAAGAGAAACAATAACTGGTTGAATGACAAGCCATCTTGGTGACTCAGTATGAATGATATTATATCTATCTATACGACTACATTTATATACTTCTGAGTAATAAATTCCCGATTTACTAGTTTTTAGTTAACTTTACTGGTTGTTGAGCAGCGGGTTGGATGAGTAATACTGTTACAGACCTATGGTAATTTACATGACATCGTATTCTCCCCAAAATAATAGGACATTTTCAACGTCCTCTGTAAAGAAGCTCACAAAATCCACCACATTTAACCCATGGAATTCGGGTCTTCTATTACTATATTATATATATTCCTCCTTTCGATTTACTATTTTCTTGTTATATAACACCCATATCTCCTTTTCAAGCCCGTTTTGAGCATCCAGGCACGAGCAGGATCGATCTGACTGAAATCTCCTCACCTTGTATTCGCGGAGATTATCTCTTCCCTGTCGAAGAAGATTTTCAGGCGAATTGATCAAGATTCGCAGCTCTCTAAGTCAGTATGGCTGAGGTATCCTCCAGCACTTCTCCAACCGCTGCTCCGCAACGATACCGAAGTCCCAACCGAGGCAATCGAAGACGTGGTCGTGGCGGTGGGGCGCCCTTCATGCAGACGGACAGCCAGCAGCGACGCGGGAGAGGGGGCGGCGGTGGAGCCAGGGGAGGTAGAGGGGGAGTACGGGGTGGAGGAATACAAACAAGACCACAGGGCTCTGGCTCCAACTCTAACGCAACCAGACCTAGGCAACCCGTTGACTGTGGTGATAGCAAGGGCGAACCTCCAGACCCAGTTCACCGCAACCTAGGTACCTCCGGTGACCGCCTGACTGGAGATGCCAAACATTCTGAAGGCGAAGGAGTGGCCACCCCGGCGGCTACTGCAGAAGAGCAGGCAGATGATGGGGAAGTCTGCTTTATCTGTGCGTCTAAGATCGATCATACCGCCGTTGCGCCCTGTAACCACCGGACATGTCATATCTGTGCTTTGCGCCTGAGAGCACTGTATAAAACTAGGGCTTGCGCGCACTGTCGGGTATGTTTTAGCAGCCATCCTGGCAATTTGGGAGTTGGGTTGACACAGTTTAAAGAATGTTGAAAGCTAATTTGAAGTTCGTTCTTGTTGAATGTCGAATAGACGGAATGGCCCTTCGTAATTTTCACTGATGATCCAGGAAAGAAATTTGAAGATTTCACGAATAAGGATTTCATCCGCACAGATGACAATTTGGGAATTAAGTACGAATCGTACGATATTTTTGAAGATACTGTGCTATTGCTGCGTTATAATTGTCCTGATAACGAGTGCGACGTCGCCTGTCAGGGATGGCCGGATCTACACCGCCATGTGAGGAACCAACATCAGAAGGTTATGTGGTATGTACAAGCTTGTTTCAGCTAAAAGCATAAAATTTCTCAACCGTCCCTGCTAACAAGTTTGAAGTGACCTTTGTACTCGAAATAAAAAGGTATTTACTCATGAACATGAGTTATTCTCCCAAACGCAGCTCCGGAAACATGAAAAATATGGAGATGACAATCCTGGCGCTGTTGATCAGAGTGGGTTCAGAGGCCATCCTGAATGTGGGTTTTGCCGTCGTAGATTTTATGGCGATGATGAACTTTATACGCATTGCCGAGATAAACACGAACGTTGCCATATCTGTG